CGGATGTGCAGAATGGCCCGCCCAGTACATCCCACCAGTGGCAGCGCCAGGGTATGGCTGGGGTAGGCTACACCCATACCCTGAAATGGCTTAGCCCCACCATGAAAAATGATGTTAAAGTAAGCAAAATAAAATCCGCCAACTCGTGGAGTAAATTGCACAGACAGCAGTTAGTAAGATTGATTTCAGGAGCCACTTGTCTGGAAATACCGAAGACCAGAAACGGTTTTGAAAACTTTTGTCACGTGGTGATCGTCTTCTCAATAGAACATCTTTGATAATGTCTTCTGGCCAATCAGAATCACGATAACGGCGTGGTGTTGTTGCAGGAAGTCCCGACGGAGAGTACTTTTGCTGTAGTACATCTCTATATACATCGATACAACATTACGTGTTGATACAAATCAACACGTAATGAATTAAGACTCCACGGTTTGATGATTGATAGGTGTGTGGGCTGTCTTTCATTTTGACACACAGAACAATGTTATAATAAACATACATACTGTATGTTAAATGGATATATCCGCCTTCTTTCATTTATCTTTCCATTCCCACAACAATATACATAAAGAAATGGCATATTTTGGACATAGTTCGAATGGTGATTAATCATGATTAATTAATTTTTAAGCTGTGATTAATCTGATTAAAAATGTTAATCGTTTGAGAGCCCTAGTTTTATATAGATTAATACAATTGTTATGTTATTTATCCTTAGCACCATGCAGGTTGGCTTAGCAGATTCCTTAAATAATCAAACGGCTGCATTCACACTGTAAACCTGCGCAGACATCAGGGATCCATAAAATAAGAATCTGACCTAAGCAGACCAAATAATTGCATTGACATTAACATGCTAACATGCTTTCAATGACCGTGTTAACATTCAGACATAATGTTATGTTAACATTAGCATGCTAACAGTTGCTAATTGTTGCCAAACACAAAGCATAAATGTCATCAGTGTCATTATTACACAAGCCACACTAATGGCATGACAAACACATAATGAAGTCCACTCACTTATTTATTTTCGTCATGCACTGGCTACTCTCGCTAATCTCTACTACACAGTGTGTGTATTCATTACTCTAAAACATACAGAGCCAGCCAGCTAACCAATCAGAGCAGACTGGGCTCTGGTTTCAGACAGAGGGTGAAAAGAGGTGCTGCAGCACAGGCAGTATGAGAAAAATAAAGAGCTTTTTGAACATTAAAGCATGGAGACATGTCCCAGGCACAATATACAAATATGATAATGAGAATGATAGGACCCCTCTAAGAGGACACATTTGATTTCTTCTTTTCCAAGGTAACATTGATTTGAGTAAAACCCATCTTATTGATATTTCTATTCTCTTGTATTTATCTGCATTGCATCCAAAAATAAGGGAAAGTAATCAGGTTACATTACTTTTATATCGTGATACTCAGGTTAGGTTACAGATTACATTTGCTTACACGTACCTAGTAACTGTAACAGGATACATTCTTAAAGTCACCCTCCCCACTCTGACACAAATCATATTGTGAAGTTTGTTTACACAGATCTGCCAGCAGTGATTCTGTGTTTCAGCACGAAGGCCGTCTCCAGTGATCCGTGTCCGTTTGAAGGAGAGTCCTGCAGCCGGACACGGTGAGAACACCGCCCTGAGCCTCCAGCACTAAATCACATCTCAGCTCCTCCTTTTCATTTCTCTCCCTCTTTCTCTCCCTTTTCAATTTTTTTTTTACTGTGCAGTAAGGAATGCTCTCTACAGGGTGGCTGGTGTTCGCTGGAGCGCCTCAACTCCCATGTCTCACACTCATCCCATGTGTCTCCTATTAGCTACACACAACCAAGAGAGGGAGGGACGCAGAGAAAGAGGGGGGAGTCAGAAAGAGAGAGAGAGGAGGGAGAGTAAGGGGGGAGGGGGAGACGAGAGGAATTTGATATGCTTTGTGCATGAGTGACTTGTATAAAACAAAGACGGGGCAAATTGTCTGAATGTATGTGAGAGAAAAAAGGGGGGAGAAAACAGTGCACGCATGAATACGCAAGAGACTAGCAAAAAAAGATTATAATTTATTTCCAGATTTGTTTGCCTTCATTTGCATCTTGTTTCACAAGGTAAATCGAAAATAAAAAATAAAAATAAAAACCGACTGCCGTACCATGAAAATGTAAAAAAATAATACAAATAATATGTACTGTATATATAATTATATCATTATCAACAAACAGACGACATTAATCATAATAACAATACTATTGATCATTAACGTAACACTAAATTGCTGGTCTCATGCATATAGGACGCCCCTCAGGTACAAAGGAGGGGGTAATTACTAAAAATAGAAACAGAAGTCCCACCAGTTCAGAATAAAGCGCCTAGCTACATGCAATGACATAAAAGAGACTCATGTACACATTCCTTCTGGCATCAAGTATTTTACACATACTGTACTGCACTATTGCCGCCCCCATCTAATATACTGTACAGAGCACGATACAAAACAGGACGGGAGTTGGAGGAACGTTTGCAGGGGAGCGCTGGAGTCGTCGTGGTGCAGCAGGGACGTGTGCCACGCTTTAGTGAAACCCTTTAAATTCCTCCTCAGTCCATTAGTCCAGCTTTTTCTTTGTTCCTTCATTGTTTTCAGTGCACACATTCTCCCTCGTGTTTCTCCATGCTGCTCTCCGTCGTGCCCCTCCCTCACAGGGTCTTGTCACTCTCTTTCTTCAGGTGACTGAAAGGTCAAAGGGGAAACCGTGTTAAGAGTGTAGGGTAACGTTAAAGGTCACAGCTGAGGTTCGGTTTCATCTCGTTTGGGGAGCTTTAACTGCTAAAGTAACAGCTGTTTTAAGATATATTGTTAAAGATTTATTAGACTGGATTCAAATATGTACAGAGGGCGCATAGATTTTTCCTCTTAAGTGTAGGGAACCCCCCCCCCTCTGTGCCACAGAGCCAAGCCGACTTTTACAGCTGAGATGCATCAACATTTTGTCAGCTTTCCAACTACTTTTTTCTTTGGTAGGCCGGCCAATTGAAACAAACTCAACGCCAGTTTGTGCTCAGGCCCAAAGCTGCCAAATGTCAGGATGACTAACCTTGGGCTTACATCTAAAAAACAACAATAGGAGTGTTTTTATTTGTGTTGTTTGTAGGCTCTGCCACCTATTAAGGCTTGTTTAAAAATGATCAAAAAGTATAAACAAGAAATGTAGATTTCTGCTACCTTAAGAATTTGATCTTGTGTCACATTCAGGCCATTTTGATGATTTTCAGGGTCTTGTAGTTTGAGGACATTTCTCTTCTATCAATACAAGTCATTTGCTTTAAGTACATTCATATTGCCCAATGGGTGGAGGGGATTGTTGAAGCCAATGTATTGCATGAACCTGGTGAGCTAACGGGAAGGAAGTGGTGAAAACTAGATCTTTGTGTCTCGGGTCAGGGTTTGGGTAATTGGGCTAGGCCTTAAAATCGTATTCTAAAGACAGTGAATAACTCACGGCAGTTGTACGCAAATATCATATAAGTAGGTTTTGTTAAGTGTCTGAAATTGAATCTGAAAATGGATGATTAGTCCAAGAAAATAATCTGCAGCTATCTTGATGATTGATTAATTGTTCAAGATTTTTGTAGCAAACAATAAAATCATGGTCTGATTCTCAAATATTCTCAGCATGATGTTCTGCTGTTCCTGCTCTTACAGTTTAAGATTATTATCAGCCTTCTGGTTAAACTAGAAAAGCCATTTTGGAAACAACAGTGTGGGTCTTAGGAAGTTACTGACACGCAAGAAATCAAATATCAAAGGAGGAAACACACATTTAATCTCTGCTGCATTTACCAAGGCCATTATGGACTCACACTACATTACATGAGTTAGATAGATAGATAGATAGATAGATAGATAGATAGATAGATAGATAGATAGATAGATAGGTAGGTAGGTAGGTAGGTAGGGTAGGTAGGTAGGTAGGTAGGTAGGTAGGTAGGTAGGTAGGTAGGTAGGTAGGTAGGTAGGTGGGTAGCATTAACAATAAAACCACAATACAAAAACACAAAATATAAAAGGCCTTACCTGTAATACTCGTCCTGGGTGAGGGAGTGGTGGTGATGGTGGTGGATCCACTGCTGTTCGAGGGCCAGTCTCTGGATCTGCAGCTCCGCGCTCTGGGCCTGCTGCATGGCCTGGAGCTGATGGGCTGCCGACATGGGACCAGTGAGGGAGGACGGCTGGGGCAGGTCACGGAAAGGAGCACCTGTGGGGGGGGGGTAAAGGGGAAATAAAGGAAGCAAAAAGGTCACCAAGGTCAATCATCGTCATCAGATTCACAAAATCTCTTTTTTTACAGTTTTAGCACTGTGGAGTTTTTTAGAGAGAAAAACTGAACAAGTACATGGACGAGGAGCCTTCTCCTCACCGAACAGCTGTTGGCGGAGCACCTCGCTGTCAGTGAGGGGGTGAGCCAGGATGGGGGTGCCTAGTGTGGCTCCTGGGTAAGGGAGGCGTGTCAAAGGAGACCCCGACGCCAGCGGGTCCATCAGGGGGTGTACCCCGCCCGTCGCTGGATGCCAGTGATGTAATAGGAAATACAGGAGATATTTAATGAAAGTCAAATTATGAATATCAAAACACACAGCATGGAAATACATTATTGCTGCTTTTGAGATATTTCTTGGTAAAACATGAGCAGAGAAATCTAGATGCAACTGTAAGGCAGTTAACATGATGGCTTCTGCTATTGCAAATATTAATATCCATCCATTAACTGTAAGTGCTAATCTTTAAGAGGTTTCTCGGGGGCTGGACATTGGGCGAGAGGCGGGGTACACCCTGGACAGATTGCAAGGGAAACACGCGGCAACACATGGGGTGCGTTCCATTTGTACGAGGAAGTCGGAAATTGAAATGACGTCAAAACCGGTTATAGCCAGGTTAGCTTTGTTAGCCTTTGTTAGCTATAACAGGTGATATTGTTCAGGCTGTAATTTACGCACACAAACAACATAGCAACATGTCCTCAGAGAGAAGATAGATAGTACTGTGTGCACTGCAGGCCTTGATTTACTGCTAATAAGCAGTTTATTACTACAGCTTTCACGCTGTTGAGGCGAGGAGAAGCCATGTTGGATTTTGAGATTGGAGTTGGTAAGGTTTTCCCAACTTCAGGGGGCTTGCCAGTTGAAATCTCCGACAACAAATGGAATGAACCAACCATTCAAGCTTTCATTCACACTAACAGGCAATTAAGAATCACTAATTCACCCAATTAACCTCACAATTAACCAGAGAAAACTCATGCTGAAATGGGGAGAACATGCACAATTCACACAGAAGGCCCCCCCGCTGTGAGAAACCATGCAAACCCCTGAATGACAGTGACATCCCAAACTGTAATATGCACATTTTGACTTTCAACATGAATTGTTCCAAAAGACAAAAGGCTTCTCTTGCTTGTCTTACATTGTCTGCTGATTGGTGTTACTGTGAGTGAACTACTTTGAACGTTGAACAAATGAGTCAGATGTCTCAGGGAAAGCTATGACCCCGATATCACTCAAAATCAAACACAACCTGAGTTCAATGGTGAACTCCACTAATTCGACAGGTCTTTTTATAAACGCTTAAAGGATAATGCTGGCTTATATATCAAAACAGTCAGTGTGTTAATCCGTCTCTTAAAACCTACCGCCTTCTCTTTGGAAAACACACTTAGGGCTATTTGTTCCTATCGTAGATGAATACTGAAGTTTAAAATCTTTAAAACTGGCTCACAAATAAAGACACATTTTTTTAAGGCTCAGTAATCTCCTAAAACAGCTTTGAAGTTTTGAGCAAAAACAAAGAGTAAATCATCTGTTGGGATTATTTTGAAGCCTATAAATTAAGTCACATTTGCACATTGCAGCCTGGTGTTCTAAGAAACTACGGTTCCCAAAACTAGTCTTGGATTTGTTTGTTTTTTCGGACAATCTTTTGTGTTAAATGATCACAAGTCTTACCCTCGACTTTTGAAGTACGCAAATCTTGCACATGCAACCTTTAGAAACACATTTGTTTCTAAATGTTTTTTTCTAGTAACACGTCTGTGCAATTTCAAGGCAGTAACACGGATAATTAGAGCATCAGTAGCAGAAGGGTTAGTACCTGTGTCTTGCTGGTGCAGGTGCAGATGTGAGTGGATGTGTGAATGCTGGTGATGATGAGGCGTCACGTTTAACATCTGAAGACGCCCCAGATTCTCTCCGTTCCCATTTCCGTTTCCACCTGTCCCTCCTCCATTCCCCCCTGTTCCTCCTCCTCCTCCGTTTCCTCCGTTTCCACCACTTCCTCCCCTTTCTCTCTCCCTTTCTCTCTCTCGCTCTCTGTCCCCAAAGGCCGGCAAAGCTGCTCTGTCTCTCTCCCTCTCTCTCTCTCTCTCCCTCTCCCTTTCTCCACTCCTGTCTCGCTCAAAGGAGGCGGGAGAGCGAGTGGGAGTCGGGTAGTTTTCGGGGGGAGCGGCCGGAGCAGTGGCTGGTGGCAGGTGAGAGGACAGGGAGCTGGGAAAAGACGAATGGGGGAGTGGGTGATGAAGTGAGGAGGCGTTGGTGGTCGGTGGAGCAGGTGCGGGAGGAGCTGTTGGGGGAGCAGGAGGTGCTGCTGGGGCCGGGGGGGCAGCCGGGGGGGCAGATGATGGGTGAGAGGGTAGGGAAGGTGTGAGGATCGATGACGGGGGTGGATTGGGGAGGGACTGAGGGGCAGGAGGGTTGGGAGGTCGAGTTAATGGCGGCATGGACGGGTTCTGGAGGTGCTGGGGAGGAGGCTGAGGCTGAGGAGAGGGAGTGCCGTAAAGCGACACCTCATTGGCTGCACCTCCCCCGAGTAGCAGGGAGTGTGCATGAGCATGTGCGTGGGCATTGGCGTGTGCGTGTGCGTGAGCGTGAGCGTGAGAGTGAGAGTGAGCGTGAGCGTGAGCGAGGGCCAGGTGATCGTGAATGGATCCTGGAGGGTAACCCCGCTCGTCGCTCTTGAATTCAAACCCTTGCTTCATTCGCTCTCGATGTGCGGCGATTGCGTGAGGAAAGCCGACTCCTCCGAACCCGGCGCCCCCCATCCCTCCGTGTATCGGCCCACCTGCCATCCCTACGTGGCCCCCGACGCCCGGACCCCCTTCGAGGCTGCCGCCGTACAGGAAGCCCAGGATGGCTGCAGCAGTGGCGGCGTCGGTAGGCATGTGATGCGGGTGTCCTAGAGCGTGATTCTGGAACTGGGGGAGGAAGAACGAGGGGTGGACGTGGGGATGGCTGTGGCCGTGCATCTGTGCGTGGTGCGCCTGGGCCCGATTCGCTGCGCTGAGGGGCGACATAGCGTGAGGGCGGGCGTACTCGCTCAGGGTCCTCAGCGCCGGGGTGTCCGGGCCCAGATAAGGACCTCCCATACCTATTCCCAGGGATCCCTGAGGGCCGACCACCGTCTGCGCCCCGCCCATGGACGGCATGAGGAGGGAGTGGGGGATCGAGTGGGCGAGGCTGTGGTGGTGTGCTTGAGCCAGGTGAGCCAGGTGAGCATGGGGGTGTGAGGGATGATGCTGCTGGTGAGGGGGAGGGTGGGAGACGGAGTTGCCGGAGGAAGAGGACGAAGGGTCGAGGTTGATGGAAGAAGAGGAGGGGAAGAAGAGGGAGGAGCCTTGGCGACTTCCTGCAGCGGCGTTCACGTCTTTCTGCTGCTGCAGAGACAAACAGGAACACACAGTAAATCACTTCTGCTTTACTCGCCTTCCTGTTAAAAGGACCAATATAACCTACATCAGGGGCGTCAAACATACGGTCAAAACCAGAGTCAGAGGGTATAACTTTTGTTCCCACTTTTGTTTGTATGGTGGTGAGTGTCAGTTCAAGCGGTCAGGATTACTACCCAGATACGAAGATTAATGTAAATTACATCGTACATAAAGTTCAATACTATATTGTTCAGTTCCAGATAACTGTGACTAAATGTTTTGCCCCTTTGTAAACACAGTGGCCCCCGAACTAAACTGAGTTTGACACCCCTTATCTACATCAAGACCATTAAATCTGACACGCAACATAATTATCACGCCCAAATGTGCTCACCTGTAGTTGTCGGTCCAGTTCCCTTTCACGCTCTCGCTCCCTCTCTCGTTCCCTCTCTTTCTCTCGGATGTCTCTCGCCCGCTGCTCCACCTCCCTACGAGCTCTTTCTATCACCTCGTTCCTCTTCTTCCACAGTTTGGAGCCGTCCAACGGGACGAAGAGGACATCACTGCGAGCGCAGGAGTTCCCACTGCCACGATCAAGGACTTTGTGAAACCTGGAACACAGAGTCATAAATCATTTCAACAATCACCAAAAATCTGTTCAGAGGTGGGAGAAGTACTCAGATCTTGTACTTGAGTAAAAGTAGAAGTGCTAAAGTGTAGGAACACTCTGTTACAAATACAAGTCTGGCATTCAAAATGTAACTCAAGTAAAAGTATGAGCATCGAAATATACTTAAAGCACCAAAAGTAAAAGTAGTCATTGTGCAGATTGGTCCATTTCAGAATAATATATATGATATGTTTTATAATTATTGATGCATCAAAGCTGGTAAAGGTGAAGCTATTTTAAATTCACATTATTATTCCAAATCTGGAAAGTAACTAAAGGTATCAAATAAATGTAGTGGAGTCAAAGTACACGATTTACCTCTGAATTTTAGTGGAGTAGAAGTACAAAGTAGCAACACATTGAAATACTCAAGACAAGTCCCTCAAAATTGTACTTAAGTACAGCACTTGAGTAAACTGACTTAGTTACTTTACACCAGGGGTGTCAAACTCAATTTCATCGCGGGCCAGTTTTAACTATTTACAATATATATATAAAATAATGTATTATATTACATTATTGCCTCTGAATTGGATTATTATCGGATAGGATAATAACTTAGTAATTAACTATGTCTGAAAGCAGAAGTCCAGGGCAAATAATTGCAAGTCTCTTCAGTGCGCATGTCACAAAACAAGATGCATTGTGGGACATGTAGTTTATGGGCAACCTGCTTCTGTAAAGTGGCATGTAACCGTATAATAAACGTATTATATTCTTTGCAAGCTCTTGCGGGGCCACATAACATGAAGTCGCGGGCCGGATTTGGCCCCCGGGCCTTGAGTTTGACACTCCTGCTTTACACCAATGCATCTGATCACATTAAGAGGGACTGATACATTGGGCGATCTCTAATAGGATAATAATGTGATTGACTTACCGTGCTGATTGGCTGGCGTGGATGGGAATGTCCACTGGTTTGGGTTCAGGGGAGGGGCTTCTCAACACAGGTGGTGGGCTTTCACTCTCCTCCCTTTCTTCTATTGGTTCCTCTTTGATAACAGGTATAGGGGGAGGGCCTGGATCCAAATGTCCGTCTCCCCCGGGGGCTGAAGAGCTGGAGGCCGGTGCGGAGATGCTGTTGTTGGCTGCTTGGTTACTGAGAGGCGGAGGTCCCTTTGAGACATTTGAAGGCGAGAGTGATTGCGAGTTGGTATTGCTGCTATTGGACGCGCTACTATTGCTGTTGGCCATGTTTCCACTACCACTGTTCCCATTGGAGTGGTACGTTCCAGTGAAGGGAGGGTGGCTGTTCAAAGTGCCATGGAAGGGGGAGGGGCGGCATCCGGGGGAACAGCTGGACGACACACCTGGACCAGGAAGTGGCATGTTGGGTCCAGATGAGGAGCCAGGGGGAAACGAAGAGAAGCCACCCATTGGATTAGTGGACGGGCTTGGTAACGGAGATAAGGGTGTTGGAGGAGTCTGAGCGGTGGACTGGTAGTGTGGGGGACGTACATTGGGTGCAGAGGGTGGCTGGGTGTGGGTGGTTTGAGGTGGGGGTATAGGAGGCTGAGTTGGGGGAGGGGGGTAAGGAGCATTGGGAGGGTGTCCATGATGACTGGAGGAGGAGGACGGAGAAAGGGCCGGAGGCTGATTCGGACCTCCTCCTCGGTTTTGGTACAAAGCAGACTCTCGCAGGTTTGAGTCTCTTTCTCTGGACTGGTAGTGGGGGTGAGGTGGGTGAGGGTGATGAGTTCCACCTGAATACTCTCGTCCCAGGTTTGGAGTCACCCTGGGGGGGCTGAGGTACTCTCGAGTTGTGCCGGTGGAAGGAGGCGCCCCAGCAGGAAAGTCTTTTCCTCCAGTGGGTGGATAATCTCTGAGAAAGTGGTCCGATCCAGAGGAAGGGGTTTGTGCCTGGTCCATGGGAGGGGGGAAGTCTCGGCTGGATGAGTTTGGGGGATGAGGGTGGGGGTGTGGGGGCAGGGAGGAGTGTGGAGGGTGAGTCGGGGTGTTTTGGGGTGATGCAGGTGGGTCTCGGTTCAGCATTGGCGCGGCAGGGAGTCCGCTGGTTGAACTCGGCAGGTTTCCGGACGGGATGGAGTTGTTGTTTGGGTTACTGTTGCCTACAGCCTCTCTTGTCGGACCCCCAAACTCCCCCCATCTGCCTCCATCTTTGTCTCTCGGATGCCCCCCACCAGTCCCGTTGGGGCCGAAGTCTCTACTCTGGTTTTGGTTTGGCGGAGGAAACTCCCTCCCTCCGTCCCTTTCCCTCTCTCGATCCCGGTCTCTGAAAGCTGGACCAAAGTCTCTCCTTTCAGAACCCAAGTTAGGTCCATCTCTCCCAGGACCAGTAAACTCCCGGTTCTGGACAGTAAACTCTCTACTTTGGACGCTGTTGGACCCACTATTACTCCCACTATTACTCCCAGTGCTATTGCTGCTGCTGTTACCAATGGGCGCGGAGAACTCTCTGCCGATCTCCCTCCCCCCGCACTCCCCCCTCCCTCCCCTCTCCCTCTCTCCTGCAGCCGCCCCCCTCTCTCTGTCCCCTCCCCCTCCGGCGTACCTGGGAAGGTACTCCCTGTGGGGGTGGGCTTGAGGATGGGGGAGGAAAGAGGAGTGGCGGGTGGACGGCGGGTTGTAGACGGAGGGAAGCTGCTGCTGCTGCACCGGCGGCTGGTGCTGTGGGTGGTGGTTTCCCGGGTAACGGGTGTAGCCCCAGCTCCCTTGGCAACCGGTCGCGGTGCCACCCTGCCAGCCGGTGGGGGTGTAGGGGTGAGGATGGGAGGAGGGCTGGGTCTGAGGCAACAGAGAGGGAGGAGTGGACTGAGTCTTGTCCAGGAGTTTGTCCGGCTTTTCTATTTTGTCTCTTTCTATCTTTACGTCGGTGGGAAGGTTTTGTCCCCCGAGCTCCAGGGGCTTCAGGGCAGGTGGAGGAGGGAGAGGAGGGGGAGGCAAAGAGTGGGGAATGTTGGGGCTGTTGTGGGAGAAATCTCCTCCCGGTATGGCCGTCTTGGTCCCACACTGCGAGCCGGCTTTGGAGTTCATTCTGCCGCCTTCAACGCCCGTCGGACCACCGTGCTCCACTTTACACATTAGTTTGGAGTCCATGGAGAAATAAGACTTCCTCCCACTATTGCTGTCATTTGAAGAATCTCCCACTCCACGGTGGGAGGGAGTCACAGGAGTGGAGGGAGGCTTAAGAGATGGACAGTCTTCGATTCGTGTATCCATGTCCCGCTTTTCTCCATCTCCGCAGGACTCCTCCCCTCTCGCCTCTCGGAGCGCCCTCCTATCCTCTCCCGACACCTTCCCTCCCTCCTTGCCTTTCTCCCGTTCCCTCTCTCCTTGCTTCGGTGAGTCTGGGCCATCGGAGTCAGAGTCCAGGCTGCCCAGAGGGGAAGCTGAGAGGCTTGGGGACGAGGAACGATTGTCCTGGTCTATATCCCGCCCACTGCTCAGGCTACTGCTGCTATTGGCCAGGCTCCCCACCACTGAACTCCTACTGCCCTGGGATTGGCCGTCTTCATTGTCACTCTCGCGGGATTGGCTAGCCACCGAGGTTGGAGGCGGGACAGTGGAAGGAGCCGAGCTGTCAATCGTGTGTGTTGATGTTGGAGGGTTCGGGGCAGAGACCGAATCCTGACGAGAAAAAGATCATTTGTGAATGAGGTAAAGAAAAAAGACTCTTAACAGCTTAGACGGTGCCTTTTTTATATATATTAACTGAATCAAAGCTTTAGAAATTGTTCTTTATAGAACAGGTTGTTAAAATGTAAGACAAACCTGAACTTTCTGCCTCTTTGGAGGAGACACAAGTTCCTCCCCCTCACTCTCTGATGAATCATGCCCTTGTGATCTGCGACTGAAGCGATTTCCAGCCAATTCCTCACCAGCACCTCTTTGCTAAAACAACACAGGACTTTTAATTCAGTAGTGATGTTTTTGAATCCCCAATAAGCCTATGACTGTTTTTAGAACAAAGCCACACGTGCACACACACACACACACGTGCACACACACACACACACACACACACACACACACACACACACACACACACACACACACACACACACATGTGTGTG